AGGCCAAAAGCGGGCCCCCGTAAAAAGAAAAACAAGCAACAACAAAAGAACAAAAAAAAGCCAAGTACAAAAAGCTACAAAAACTTCACTCGGCCTCATCTCCACCGTCGTCCTCTCTAGCATTGTCATCATCAGAAGGAATCCCATCTTCAATCTCAGCACCCTCACCAGCCTCCGGTATCGTAGGATCATAACTGCAGGCAAGACGAGCCTCGCGTGCTTTAACCCGAGCATCTTCAAAAGCGGCCTCAGGAATGCTCCCCGCCGCCCACAAATTTTTGTATATATCTCGTTGGGCCTCAACATGGACCCATATCTTGTACAAATGGTGGGGGATAGCAACAGAAGTAGCTTCTTAAGGAGGGTCCTGAGCCAACAGTTGTGCCTTCTCGGCCTCAAGAGCCACAACTTGGTCTCCCAGGCTCGAGGCATCTCGCTCGAGCTCACCGATCCGCTCCTCGAGCCTTCTCCCTCAATGCGGTTGTCGCCCTATCAGTCTCCCACTTAGACCTGAGAACGTGGATAGTGTCTTCCAGCACCGCCGCTCTCGCCAAGGCCGCCACTCGGGCTCCCTCGGCCCTCTCCAACTTCGCCACCTTCCTTTCTAGCTCAACCACCTTCTCTGTCCGCTCTGCACTTAGATTGGCAACTCTAGCGGCATTCTGCTCAAGCTTGGCTCGCAAATACAACACCTTCGCTTGAAGATCCTCGCATTCCGCCGCAACCCCTTTGCCCACCTCTAGCTCCTCGTCCTTGGCCCTAAGCATCCCCTCGAGCTCGCTACATCTGCGGATAGACTGCATCAGATCCTCGTCCCTTTTATCCAACTCCTCCCTGAGGGATTGAGCATGCATCTCACGGCACCTATTGCGATACCGGCGATACTTCGTGGCCATTTTTAGAAAGATTTCAGCCCGCGTCTCAACCATACGAGCACTCTCGATCTCCAGCATGTAAGTCTAAAAAGGGGGAAGAATCAGCGAAAGCAAATGGCACAAAACGAAGAAAATAGCAAAAGGAAACTCACCCTCAAGGCCATCCCAGCCACACCGTGTGACAGACCAGAATCACTGATCTCCCGAAGAGACCCGCTTTCGGCGGCGGAGCATAGAAGGTCAAATTGGGGCACCAAGTCCACCGTGTCCTCCAATAGGTTAAAGTCCGACGGAATTGCGAGCACACGGGAAGGGCCTTCCGCCCTTACGTCGACCTTGGTAAAACCTTCCTCGAACATCCTCATGTCCTCAAGATCGATATCAGAATCGAATTCATAATCATCTACCACTATGCGATTCAACCTTTCATTAGCCGAAGATGGGGTGCGGACCTGCCGAGATGTCGATGGACCACTCGGAACAATCGTGGCAGCCTCCGAACTCTGCCCCCTGCCATGGCAGCCTTTTTTATGACCGTAACAGGCATCGCCTCCACACCCAGGCTGGCATCACCGCCGGCTTCAGACACCACTGAAACAGGGTCTCCCCTCGAGGACGTTTCAATCAAAGACACCCCCTCTGACATAATCCTCCGCCTCTTTGGCGGAGCCTCTTCGCCACCATCATGAGAAGGTTCGTTCGCCGAATGAACTGTGGGGACCAGAGTGTCCGACCGAAGAGCAGCCTCCGAACGAACTAGTTCAGACGCGGACGTAGTCCGCAGAATGGCCAGACTTTGGATGCCCTTATCCACGGCTACTATTGGTAAGGGCCTGGCCGAGGAAGCCGGCTGACAGAAAGCAAACATAGGAGGCCTCACCCTTCTCGCTCTCCTCCGACTTACCAATGAGAGAAATTCGACCAAACGAAGATATAAGGTAAAGGAAAATACAGAGCAAAGAACAAAGCAACTAAGACCGAAATGAGCCGACTCACCAGCGGAAGGTTTACGCCCAAACCTCTCGTGGAAATGTGCCCATTCGCGAATCCCCATCGTGTGGGGCAGAATCGAGCTCACCCATTTGCGAATATTAGTAACTTGCGGAGGAGGTACTGTCTCGGCTGCAAAAATAAAAAACACTCGATACCACGTGCTCTGTTCAGACATAGAAGAAGTTCTCCCAGAAGCGGCGATTGGCCTTGTCATCCATCTTCACCAACAAACCCTTGGTTCCTCGGTGACAAAGGTAAATCATCGTGCCCCTATAAAAATGGGGGGCGAAGAGGTGAAGCATGTGTTGTAGAGAAATTCTTCGATCGGCCAGCTCCGCGTACTTGATGAGCATAAGAAAGAGTTTGTATACGTACGGAGAGAGTTAAGCCGGACATACCTCGTAGAAGTGGCAGAAGTCCACCACCAAGGAAGGAAGGGGAAGCATATATCCGATGACAAATGGATATGCATAAAACACACAGTAGCCCGGACGGTGTATATGCACTATGTCACGACCCGCCGGAACCAGTTCAATGTGATCAGGGATTCTCCATTTAGTTTTAAACATTGTGAGCGTCGCGGCATCCATCGTAGAAATAACAGGTTCAAACTCATCCTCGGCAGGGCTCTTCAAGTCAGTCCTTGCTTTCCCTGGGCGGGGGACCACTTCATCCACCGTCGGAAAACCTTCATCCTCCATCATAGCCACTCTCTCTTCAAGTGAGGGAATGTCGTTTTTCGGTACCGGGGCACCAACGGCTCTATCAGGGTTGGAGGATGCACTAGCGTTCTTTTCTTTGGTTGCAAAAATCGGGAATAATAAGGGAAAAGGTAGCGGTCACAAGAATTTTTAACAGGAAGGGAAATGCGAGAAACGGAAGGAAAAGAAGAAAAGCTGCGAGTTTTTCTTGAGCGATTGGGAAGCACAGCGTTCAAATGTAAGATTTTTCCCTATTTATAGGGATATAAATACCCTGAGCGGGAAAACCAAATGCCGCCATTTTAAAAACGGAAAGGGCACTGGAAACGACGTGATACATAGAAAACGTGCGCCATAATGACACATGATGAGTTTTAATGACATTCTGAACTGACATGACGGTCTGATGCATCTTCCCTAAACGTCACGTCGCTACCTCGCCATGAGGTATTTGCCCATCGCCCAAAGTGCTCAGATTTCTCACAACTTTCGAATTGACAGAGTCCGCCCATCGAGCTTGCCAAAAGACGACCCCAATAGGCGGAGGGACTAATTGTATGGGTCGAAAACTAACCAAACAAGAATCTGCGTGAAGAGGAACGATAAAGTCATTTGGGACGAAGTCGTATTCGTACAACGCTATAGCGACGAGCACCTCGGCTAAGGCCGTAGTCGTGTGCTCAGAATACTTGTATGGAGAATTGGATGTTACGGTATTTCAGAGGGTCAATCGGTAAAACAGCTAAATGACTTAGGTACTCTGGCTAATGACCGTTGTGTAAATGAGAATATCTAGTATATATACTAGGTGAGAGAATGAAGAAGGGGGGCTGGAACAAACTCACATACACAGACATATTTTCAGGGAGGAAGAGGGGTCTTCATCTATGTCTCCTTGCTGAGGAGAAAGAAGCAAGGAAGCTCAGTCCTCAGTATACATCGTTAATCTCATCATATCAAATGTATTGGGGGCAACCTTGTTACTGATCGGTGACCCCTTTTTGTCTAAGTATTCTTCATTATTATTCAATGTTATGAAAATCATCATCCTCTTCTTATATTACGGCATTCAATTATTGCTATGGTTAAATTTTATGTTCAGCTATGCTTGCTTGTTCTTATCCTCTGTCTCACATCTAGAATGAATTATCTTTAGCTAGGATTTATCTCAAATCTTCCTATTTAATTAGTTTATAAAAATACTTAACTCTTTTTAGTCAAACAGGTCTTTATATCATAAGGGGGGACAATATGTATGTGTAATGTTTGCTGCCACTTCTTAGTTAAGGATGCATATGGTTCGCCAAAAACAAGGATTCCTTTATGCTCTAACAGGTTCTGTTTTATTTTTGCAGAAGCGTCGTTGGGGAATTAGATGAAGAGCAGGATGCTAATTTGGATATGTCAAAACTGAGAGCACATCCTCTAAAGCCAGTCGTTCACTGACGTGCATGTAATCCTAAGAATGGGGTGGATCAAATGTCAGTTTAGTTGAGGAACTTTAGTGCAACTGTCATTTCAGGCGTGCTCTGTGGCTAAGAACACAAACTGTTATAGTTCATTAGACGCCATTCATATTAGTTTGCGAAAGAATTTGAACCAGAAACGCTAGAGTTAGCTGCTCCATTGGTCACGTTTGACACATTTAATTGTATTGAACTGTCTTACACTGCTTATCATGCGTAGTTCAAAGGGGGTGAAAAGAAAGGTGAATATGACAAAGTTGATGTATTATTTTGACAATCGGGATTATGGCGTGAATTTTTTCTTTTCTTTTTTGGGTTTAACCACCCGTTAACTGAAGCCCCCTGCCCCGGCTAATTTTGATTTGAGTTTGATAAGCCACTAAGGGGTTAAGCGTTTCTATCAAAAAGTTCTCAATTTCCATGTACAAGTTGAGACCTCTGGTTAAGAATGAACAACAACAAGAAGAAGAAGAAGAACAACAACAACAACAACAAACTCAGCGTAATCCCACATATTGCAGTCTAGGGAGGGTAGTGTGTACGCAAACTTTACCCCTATCTCGTGGAGATCAAGAAGTGGTTTGCAATAGACATTCGGCTCAGTGAAGTATAAGCACAGTAATGAAAAGAAGAACTCGATCAAAAAAATTGCAAACTCATTTTTTGAGAAGTATCAACCAAAAGCCACCTTAGTCCCTTATAAGAGGTTAAAGATGGACGAAATCCTTCCTCCTAAAGTACTGCAAGCAAATTATGCATGATTCTGTACTCTCCTCCATTTCTCTTTAAACTACTCACAACAAAAGCACCAATGACTGAAGGCTATTCTTAAACAAGATTGATCTTTGTGAAATATGTAAAGGGGAAAAAATTCGGACATAATTCTCTCTAAACGATACTCCTGATAGAATTGGAGATAAACAAGTCATTGGAAACTCAAGAGGAAACACTAGCGCAGTCCACAGTAAAAAATATTATGCTAGACAATATTACCCTCATTTTAGTCTAATGGAATAAGTCTTCGAAATACCAAGCAGCGCCAAACTGCAGAATAATGCGTCCACAATATAAAATATTTTGCTAGACAACATTACCCTCATTTTAGTCTAAAGGAATAAACCTTCAAAAAACCAATTATAGTATCAACATTAACAGCCTCTTTCCCACTAAACCAACTCAGATATCTGGGAACAGGTCACCCAGATAAAAGATGCCTTCATCACGAACGCAGGTGTTTGAATTGGGGCATACTCCAACACCAAAGTTAGATGAGGGCGCAATGGAAGGTAATTGCTGAGAGTCAATGGTTAAACCTCCCCCTGGAGCAGCCACCCTGTTCTCAGGTGCATTGTTAAAACCGAAGCTACCAACTGTATAACTGGATATTCCACTGTGAGCAGCAACTGTATAACTGGACATTCCACTATGAGCAGCAACTGCATAACTGGACATTCCACTATGAGCAGCACTGGACAGCATTGCATGAGATGATGGTGTTTTTCCAACGTCAAAAATAGAACTGATTTCGTTGTCTTCGACCATATGCTCAGTGATTAACGCTTCTAGTTCACTCCCAATTCTAGTGACAGGGTGACCGTAGTTTTCATTGCCAGCAGCAGTAGATGATTGTAGGCTGGGTAATAGGGATCTTTCAGTGTCACCATGAATCCCAGCTTCATAAGTGCCCTCCTGCTCCATGATTAGGTCATCTATACCTAATATGAAGTCATCATTCACATCATGGTACAGACGATTCACTTCATTGACAGATGCAGCACCAGGGCCTGAGGACTCTCCTCCAGAAACTGCTATCACCGGCTCAGCAACTGTGATTTCTTGGGGCAACATGCTCTTCATTTCTATGGCAGCAATTGGGGAGGTAAACGTGCCAACACCAGTAGATACCACCCCGCTGTCAACAGCTCCAGTCGTATCGTTAGTGCTTGCCGTCACTTGTGATCCTCCTCCAGCAGGTCCAATCATGTTCTCAGGGTTTGGTACTTGGGAAGTTCCAGCAGTTTCAATATCCACACTAGTTATGTCGTGAATGCTTGCTCTTCTCCTCTCTTTGTTGACGCCTTCGCGGCGATTGAAAAACTTTTGGGCATGGCTAGCCACCTGTTGTGGTGTTCTAGATAGCACACAGTGCCTGGATATACTTTTCCAATCGCCCTTTCCATATTTATCTAACCCCTTAAGAAACAACCTATAGCAGGAAAGAGAGAGAAGTTATCAGCTTTGCATTAATCCAGGAAACAAAATCGCAAGACAGTCTTAAAAGTTTAACACTCTTTCAATCAGCAAAAAGCGCAATACATCTTATAAATTCCAGTGAAGAATAGGTATGATTCCATAGGCATACTTATTGCCGTCTGCATGCACTGTATAACATCATAGATAACAATAATCAAAACTAACAACATCTCTCCCTACTGCCCACCCCTAAATAAAATCACAATTCGTTTTTTTTTTCTTTTTTCTTTTTCTTTTTTTTTTTTACCGAGAAAGAGCAAGGAACCTAGAATCAGGGGATAACAAATGTCAACCGTAGGATATATGATTTCAACATTTGCTTAATTTTCTCTGCCCACTTGCTTTCGCCTCATTTCTATATGCACTCACTTCAACTACATCTGTCATCTGGCTTCACAAATTGAAATAGGCTATTCTTAGGAGTGATGTCTTAAATGTGATTTCTTACTCAAAAGGCAAAAAGATAAAGATAAGAAAACAAGAAGAATAACAAACAAGACATGTTCATAAAAATACTTTATACCAATAATCAAATAGACCAATATTTTTCGACATATTCTTAGTAATGGTGCTTTTAGCTATGGGAAGAAGCCCTTGCGGGGGGGCAGCTTAGTTACCGTGTCGAGGAAACTAGGGTCCAGTAAATTCTCTGATTAAAGCCCCAAGCACCCTAAGAATTTTTTTTTTTTTTAAAAGAAAAAAGAGAAGAGAAGAAAAGAAAACACAAACTAGAACATTATTCCAAAACTTGTTTTTGCCCTACTCTATTTCTGGATCATGAAATGTGTTATGCTAATCTTACGAGATATTCAAAATTCAAGAGGTGCTAAGAAAGTATTAGCACATTGAATAGACTACCAATAAAAGATTTTTACTAATTAAAAGATTTAGTCTAATTGGGTTAAATACATGTATTTTTCACATCACTGTTTGTCAAGCAACAAATTCCTCAAGTATTTCCAGCATAAGCCAGAGCCAGACTGAAACCTTTATGATGTGTTCATTAGCTTGTCCATCTGCAGTAAGGCATTCATCTGGTTATAAGCACCAAATACATATACAACGCTGCAACTTATGTTGCAAGATCTATATGGAGTAGTACTCCACTCGTCGAAGAAAAGGATAAATTTTTTACTTATTTTAAAAAAGGGATAAACACCCAAAATGAAAAATAAGTACTTTATAAAGAAATCTCTTAGGGGAAAACCTTAAAAACAAGAAAATGAATGAATTCCAAAAAAAAAAAAAAAAAAAAAATAAAGACAAAGCATTTATTTTTGATGAAAATTTATGTTTATTTCATTTTCCCCCACAATATCACACATAAAAAATATTTTACCATTTTCTTCTTTCACTAAAGTTACAGATAGCTCATGGTTCTTTTGTTAATTATCGATGCAAAAAGTTAAGCTCAACAAACACAAACAAGAAACAAGCATTTTGTAGCAGACATATGTCCTGGAGGCAATTTTAAAATTCTTTTCAGGGAAAATAAGAAATTCAATAAGCTATCAGGCAGGACATAACTATAGAAATGCAATAATCACACATTTGGATGATTAGAAGCACACCGACATGGTCCTTGAGAAATGTAAGGAAATTTTGAAAATCCTTTTCTAGTAAAAAGTGAAAATCATGCAATCAATTAGCAAGACATGATTATAGCATCCAGTAAACATCAATTCAGATGATTAATATTGTCCTTAAAGAAATGTACAGGAAACGCACTTGTGTTCCTCTTCTGTCCAAGCAACCCCTTTTCGCCGTTCTACATCTGCTTTTGGTAATCTACTTTTATTGCGGGAATGGCTTTGCATATTCCGATATCGAGGTAAAGGAACAAGTCCAGACTCAATCGCATTCACATCCTCAACTAATACCTCATAGTGATTTTTTATATCTTCAAGTGATTTCCCAGGAAGTGCTGCTGCCATCCTCATCAATAGATCATCATCACTAGAGTACACTGCCAGGGTATTCTCAAAGATTTTATCCTCCTCCTTAGTCCAGAAGGAGCCATTGCATGTCCGATCGGTGCTCATTTTCTTTTAGATCTACACGGAAAGGGTCAAGTATGAAAAGGAAAGTTTTTCAAAAGCATTCTGAAAACGGATGAATTCAATATATGACAAAAACCACCATAAATATCTGGCATCTAAAATAAGATTTTATGTAACTCCTGACACTTGGTAAACAGAAAGAACGGCAGCAAGACATGTATTCTTTAAATCAGTTATAGATTCTAAGAGTAGTAATGAGCGACTGGTAAAAGGAACGGATAGGTGGCATGCCAAAACAGAACGACCACTCGAACCACATAATTTTCGAGATGTTAATGTGCATATGAACATGGAGGAAAAACAACCAAAGTTATCTGAAATACAAAATATAAATTGATGAGGCCTGTGGCACAATAAGCAATAATGATGTTTCTAATAAAATTTATATGGTGAAAAGCATCTGATAATAGTCATAATGTAATCTACTATATAGGTACTACATATTTATTAGAATGTCTTCAACCAGGTACAGCCAAAGAGGAAGTAAATGGTAGATCTAATTAAGGAAATAGCATAGTGACAGTTAAGATTTGTATAGAGAGCTATTTCTGACAGCTAAATAATAAGGAGCAAGTTGACAAGATAACTTCACCAGTAGTATATATGGTACCAACAACAAGATACTTGTGGTATATCACCCATAAAAGTCCCTAGAGACACGAAGCACTAAGAAATCATCTTATATTTTTTTACCTTTTCTATCAGCTGATAGGTTTTATAATAAGAAGGAAGAGTGCAAAGAAGAAAACTAATTGTCTCAAACTAAGCAAAAATTATATCACCAAGGTATATATTTGTTCTTGTTAGTGACGTAAAAGAAGATCTAAGGCCTTCTACCACATAAAAGGAAAAGAAACCTGCCAATCCAACACGCTATCAAAAGAAATCGATCCTCAAAATGTTCTAGGAGAACAGTCACACTGAACACAGCATAACAAAACCTAAAATTTCAATCAAAGCCGGCCTTTTAACAACTAACAACTCATTGCGTGATGATGAAGGGTCAAAAAGATTCTTCAAGTGATTCAAACAATTTTGACAAAAATCCCATACAGAAGAACATAGGTACAAACAGTGGCGGAGCCAGAAATTTTAGTAAGGGGTATCAAAATATAAAACAATAAAATACACTAAGAAAATAAGGGGAGCAACATGTAGTATAAATGCATAAAAACAAATAAAAAATCCTAGCTAACCAGTGTAATTTTCTGGAGAAGGGGTGCCAATTGACACCCCTTAACATAAGGTGGCTCCGCCACTAGGTACAAACATGACGGGTCCATCACTATTTCTATACATGATGCACCAACTATTTCTATACATGATGCACCAAATAGGAATCAGGAAATCATTGAGCAACTTCAACCACAAAATGCAATAATGACAGGCATATTATGATAAATGCTAATTATATTGCTTAACTTCCAGTAGATCCTTGACCTAACAATTGAAAAATGGTAAAAAGATAAATTCAGAAACCCAGACTAGTGAGTTATCCAAGCTCTTAAGTTTCAATGACATACTCGTGTCAAATGGTTATGTCAAAGATATGGGTATTTTGTAAGGAACTTCCAAAGTACTCTAAAACTTACTAGAGTTGAGCATCTCTGTGTAAGATTCACACGTGAGTTTTAACATTTCTATGCTCGAGTTAACGAGTTAATCTAGGACTGAAATATGAGTGTCTGGGTAGTTGGATCAGTTCAAGTTGTCAAGAGAAACCAAAAGGGTTATTAGGTAATCCACTAGTCTTTTACTCAAGTTCTGAAAGAAGTAAAAGTTCCAAGAGAAAAAAATGAAGTGTAAGATGGCACCATTGTGAAGTTTAGAAAATTGATTATCTTGGGGGAAAGTATCAAAGAGGGGCTGATGTTTCAACTTCAGTCCTAACCCCGCTTCAACTTGCAGAAGGTGGTATTAAGACAAAGCTCATAAATTCTCTCACGGTTAGAACTAAATTAACCTTTAAGACAATCTCATGATAAGCATAAGCTGGTTTCTTTATAGTAACAAAGTCGAAAGAAATGAACACTTTTCCCATCTTGGAAGGGGTTGATATGTTGGAAAGCGAGTATCGCTGTCAACGCTATCAATAAAGGCAAAGCACTTATTCGATATTTTAATGAATGATCCTGGAAATTGTCGATATTATAGCACTATAGGTCTATGCATTTCAACGGTTGTTAAGATTTTTTATAGCAAAATTTTTTTTTTGTAGAGAAGTGCTTTCTATTGTATACTTTCAGTAAACAATTTAAATACCCTTCGATTATGCGGAACAGTGGAAGTTTCAATAAGATTGTCTTGTATAATATAAAGACAATACACTAAATTCCCAATCTCTTGATAACCATATGTTGCTAATATATATTGTTTGATAATCTTGTTATCTTTGAGTCTTTATAGCAACTCCGTCACAATAATAAAAGATATTCTCCTCTTCTCATAGCCTTGAAAGGGGCTCGACGTATAAGTGAGTTCTAGTAGTGCTAGTGTCAATTAAGGCAAAGAACTCAACTGTTATTTATTTAATGATCTCACCCAATTCAGAATATTTTGGTATTACATGCCTACGCATTTCAAAATCTGTTGAGAATTCTTTGTAGTCAATCAACTATGCCTCAATCCCAAAGAAGTTTGGGTCTATATGATTCCTCCTTATCAATTCTGCTCTATTTAAGTCCACTTCCATCGAATACTAAATCATTCCACTATTGAAGCACAATAAGAGTTTCTCTAGATGTCAAACTATCCTTGTAAGAACATACAAGTCTCTAAGCATTAAAAAAAACTCCCGATGGCTGCTGAATCTAATGCAAGTATAACTATAACTAAACTTTTACCCTAACTAGTTGATAGCATCTATACGGATCATTTGCTTCTATTATGTTCTGTTATTACCTAAATCTGAAATGGTAGGTCTTTTGAGACAACTTCCATCCATATGATTTTAGGTTTTAGTAGTCTCATTTGTCTTCCTCTCATTATTGCATTGTTGCAACAAGAATATAGCCAAACCCATCTCAAATGATATTTTCGCATTTTATCCTCTACTTGCATTTACACCTTCTGTACTTACCCTCTATATCAGATATGATCATTTCTAAATTTGTCCATTCAGAATTCTTCCATAAAAATGCTTAGATAAATGAGAAAAGTAAGTTTTATTCTCTATTTATAAGTAGTAGTCATAAATGAAACTATCTAGAACAATGGTCACATTATGCCACCTACAACTATCCAAAGCCTCATTACCAGATGCGAATGTTAAAAGTCTATTGCATGGATAGATCACACATACGAGTTAAGATTCCTTCACTACAGCTGTAACCTTATAATTTGAATTTGAAGCTAGATAAATATGAATTTGGATTTTCAAAAGGTACAATTTGTACCAAGCGCTCTTGTTCATGGAACATGAATGGCAATGTAATTCACCACTTAAACAAAAATAAAACTCACTAGGAGTGGGCTTCTTTTGCATGATATTGGTACAGATTTAATTATAATATATAAATGAGTTTTACATAAATTATAGTACTCTCTCCAAAATTATATGTTTCGTACTTAATAAGGCACCAATTTAGACTAAGAGCTTAAATTATCACTATATATTAATAGAAGTTAGTGAAAAAAGCAAAGAACAAGTAAGTTTTTAAAGATTGTGAACTTGTTAAATACAAAACCGGGTTAACAATTAACAGTGCCTTGTTAACAATCAAATATTAAAGAAGCATTAAAAAGCTTATGGAGAAAACTTTTCTTTTAAAGAATAGAAATTCGAGAGGACACAATTCCAAAATTTGATGCTATGAAAATAGTAATTAAGAAGTAAAACTTACAATCTCACTTGGGGGAAATAGTTGCTAAAATTTGGTATTACAAGCTGCTAGACCAATGTGAAAGGCCCAAAATAATCCGTATTTAACTAGGGTTAGCATGCCATGGCAACAGGAAAGACGAACGCAATATATTTACAGATGTAGGAGCATAATTCTATGTAATACCTGAAAAGCTTTTACTCTCCTGAAAAAGTAGAAATTTAACAAGACAAAAGTAAAAAATATCAAATAGGAGAGTATACAGTCTCCTGTATCTTTTATTATAATACATCTTGAATAGAAAATGATTGTGTCATTTTAAACAGAACATTTTACATAAATGGAAAAGGAAAAAATCCGGGTTCCCTTACAACACAATCTAACCGCTTAAAACTAATGAACATAACGACAAATTATATCCATGACAAGAATTCAATAGGAAAGCTTTACAAGATCCTATATTTCCCTTCTGAGAACCGTTCATATCTCTTTCCTCTCTAAATAAAGTGTAGAAAACTCAACAAGATGAATTTCATGATATTCAAACAGGTGAGTACCACTTCGTCTCTTAAGAATCTACCCCTAAAACCACTAGATAAATCAATCATTCTGAAATTGATCATACATTCTCTTGTATCTACTGTAGTATTAATTTTACACATAGCGAAATAGTACAATGTTGTTCATTTGTATGGATTATGTTTACATAGATCAAAATGGAAATATCCTAATTCCTTGACAACACAATCCTAACCATTTAAAATTAAGGAACATGGAAGGGATAGATTATATTTTTATACATGCCAAGATTTCTTTTTTCTTTTCGTAACGGTGGTATGGGCCAGCTTGCGCACACCTCGACTATTCCACCGGGTAAGGCTTGGACAGATGGGAAGAAATCTATCCATGCCAAGAAATCAAAAGAAAAAATCCTTACTTTGCCCTTCAAAGAACCAATCATATCTCTACTCTACCTATCAACTTTCATAAACACAAACGCATGTTAAGCACATTTTGCATTAAAAAAAAATTCACAAAGCATAATTCAGCATACTTCTGAGTGTATCAACTGGAGTGATAAGCTGTGTCACTTATTTATACAATATTTATACAACCAAAAGGGAGACACACACACACACATATAATCAAAAAAAAAAATTGAGAAGAAATCTTATAAATGCTGGGCAAAGAGATGATTTTGCACACCTGGGATTTGAAACTTACAATGAATCTAAAAATTACTTGATAATGGTTAGAAATTTTTCTAAGGAGGCATTTCATCAGTATTTAAGAAAATTAAAAAATGGTCAAGATTACCGTAATCTGAAATTTTAAACATTTATTGTAATACCACAAAAATCTAAAATATGCCGAGCTGTAATTACCTGAATTGCCAAAACTCAAAAACCGACATATTTTGAAATAATCAGCAGATTCATCTCCCATTTTTGGATTCTCCATTGAGGAGCAATCGAAGATCATATTCTGCGTTTGGGAAGGGTTTTGAGTTATTGCCATTGGTTTTAAGCTTCAAGCGAAGTGACGGACATACATATATACAGTCGTAAGAGAGAGCTGAAAAAGGAAGAGATGGATTTGAAGCTTCGTCTTTAAATCGCTAATACTTTATTGTTTTCTCATATTCTATTTTGGATAAAATAATTCATAGTTTCACATATAATTTAATATAGTATTTTTTAACTTTATTATTTTTTTCTTATACATCCAACCAAAAAAATTTACAAAATTTATGTTGGCCATGGTAGGCCTGAGGAGTGAGGAGAGCTAAAAGTAAGCTATAATTGGGGAGAGGTGATAAACAAGACGCTGTACCTATACACTTTAGTGAGAACATAACACTTGATAGTAGAATATGAATTTAATAATTAGGGTAAAAGGTTTCTAGATAGTCGGGATTTTCCTTTTCATACTTGTAGTACCATTATTATTCATGAATTTTCTTACATTTACTGTATGTTGTCCTTTTGCTTCGGTTTTTTTATTATCATGATGTTGTTATTGCTTCTTTTTCTTTTTCCATGGGTTCTACGTTACTGTATTTCTGTTCAACTATATTGTGATTATGCTTTTGTTGAGCCGGAAATCTATAAAAAATAATATATTACCTCCACGTAAGAATAAAATTTGTATACACACTTTGTTGTTGTTGTTATTATGTTGCATTAATTGCTACAATATTACAACCAACTAACCCTTAATCAAATATTTGGAGTTGTAAGTCCCTACAATAGAAACCTTCTACACCCCAAACAGAAATTAGTAGCAATAGTGAGCTCTCTTAGTAAAAGCTTATTAATCGAAATTAGTTGTGTTAATAGACTTCAAATATTGAAATTAGTTGAAAACTCACATGGAATGGTTAAACGAAAAAACTCACATAAAAGAAAACATTAAAAAGAGATGTTAATAGTTACCAACATTTAGTATAAAATAAAACATGATGCAAAATAACCTTGACTAAATCACAAGAGAAGGAATGTTTAACCACCTTTTTGGTTACGGAATATAGTGATTAAACAATTTTACAAAAGCTTATAACGTAAGTCAATATGAAATCCTTTTTTAAGTTCAAGCTCACAGGCCGTCTATCAATAACAATAAATATATAAAGAAAAAATTTAAAACAAACGTATATCAAGTCGTCAAAATCATTGACATCAAATAGAAAACAAAAGAGAGAATCAAAATTTAATGGAGACTGGAGAGTGCATTTTTAGTTTAAATTGGCATTCAGCGCATGCATTTTTAATTCAGCTAACCAAATCAATGCTATCAGCAGTCTCCTAAAACAACTTTTCTTTAAAGCAAAAGTCCATCTCTGGTGGGTCTTAAGGGTCACATGACGACCTCAATTCATATATTATCAAACAGAATTAATACACGAAAGGGGATATGTTGGAAATTGGTGAATTTTGATTTTGATGATTAATACACGAAAGAGACACTTAAAGTTGGCATCATTTTTTATTTAGACACCTAAAATGAAGGTTGTTCCTATTGAGCATTTATGCTACACTAAACTTGTTCCAATTAGGCACTTTTTTGACAATTAGCCAAACTTACAAAGTGTGTGCAATACACTTGCGGCTTACGTGACGAATGACAAATAAAAAAAAGGATATATATCATTTTGAGTTAAAATAAATAAAAAAAAAGAAAAAACCATTTTAAAATCTATTTAGTAAACAAAATAAAATAACATTCTTAAAAAGAAAAAAAACTTAATTTATACCCAATCAGAAAATGACACATCATTAACAAAAGAAAAGACAAAAAAAAGGACATTCTTAAAATCATTGTTCTTGGTGTTCTTCACTATCTTCATGTCTATTCTTGTTCCAACCACGATTTTAATCCAAAATTTCAAGAGAAACTCCTCCAAATTTCTTATAACTTCAACTAAAGATTCCCTACCAAGACTCGAAGACAACCCCAATATTAATTTCTCAATTTTTCATCAAATCAAGTCACCCATTTTAAACCATCAAGCTTTATAAAGATCCCATTAATGGTGTTTCGATTTTTTTTTTAAACCATTCGATTTCTTTGATGGGTGAAAACCATTTAGTACTGCAAAAATCTGAGCAATAATTCTTACTAAGACAAAGCCCTTGGATATTCAAAAACTTGATGAAAAACCAACAAAACAAGAACTGTTAACTACTTAGCAACCATTTATCGGCGCAGTTCACCATCGCCGCCACCGGCAGACCCAGTGACATTCTGAACTTGTTCCCAACGGAACCTCATCGTCCTCGCTTCGACATTGCGGACGGTGTCGATCTTCACGGCCGTCTCTCTATCCACCGAAAACTGAATGGTGTTTCGATTTGAAATGAAGAAGAAGGGTTGGTTCAAACTTTCTAGCTAAATCAATGGTGGAGGCACAACAATGGTGAAAGTGGAGGAGGCAATGGTGGAAATGGTAGTGGACATAAAGAAGAAGAAGAAGAAGAAGAAGAAGAAGGAAATAAAAAAGATAAAAAAAAAAATCTGTTTTATGGGCTCTTCACGCGCCTATATTGGGTGAAACTCACTCTATGTGCCAACTCAGCAAGAAGTGCTTAATTGGAACGAAGTTTATGTAATGTACGTGCTCATTAGGAACACCCCTAAGTTCAGGTGTCTAAATGAAAAATCGTGCCAACTTTAAGTGTCTCTGTATGTATTCAGCCATTAATAAATATTGCAGATATATTAGATTGGTCGAAGCTTGTGAAGGAGAAGGAGCTCATCCTGTTGGCACTTAATCTTAATGGGAATAGAATTAACTTTTGCGTGAGATATTGTTTTTGTTGGGCTAAACTAGCCCAAATACACTCTTAACATGGTGTGATATTCTCTGTTTTGGACCAAGCCCGCACGATTTTTTCCAAAAGGCCTTACGCCATTAAGAGATCCCTACACCTTATATGTAGACTCCCAATCTTTTCAGCTACCAATGTGGGACTTTGTTCGCATACCCAACAATTTTCCCCTCGAACTAAGTTCCACGTGGCCCAGTACCACGATTCACAGGTCAATTTTCGAGATTCACTGAGTGCCACCCATATTGTTAGAGTATTATGGCAACCGAAGCCCGCAACTAGCTTCTTCTTGTGTGTGCATTGCCCTGCACCATCACTTCGCCATCTTTATACTCTTTCCGCTGAACTTGGGCTCTGATACCAGTTGTTGGGCTAAACTAGCCCAAATACACTCTTAACATGGTGTAATATTGTCCGCTTTGGGCCAAGCCCGTACGGTTTTTCCCAAAAGGCCTCACACCATTAAGAGATCCATACACCTTATATGTAGACCCTCAATCTTTTCAGCTACCAATGTGGGACTTTGTTCGCACACTTAACAGTTTTATTTCGTGATAAATGATCTAGCAGCCGCCCAAATAACAGAGAATCTTCAAAATCCTTATTGTTGACTTAGAAACCAAGTTTGTGAGGAAATAGAATCATAATTAGAGTCTTTTTAAGGAAAGAAATATATTTTCCTTACACTTCCTTTATTCGCTAAGGTTAGGAGACATTTAAGGGACATATCCTGGTCGAAATTGATGGAAATTAAATATGTTTCTTGCTGAAAAAAGAATTATAATTAGAGTAGGAAACAAATAAGAAGTGTGGTCATATATGGTAAGTTCTTTATGAAGTACGCTTCTTACTGTATTCGTTTTCTTTTATAATTTGGACTCTTTATGCTACTAACATGTTACCTAAATACAGTTCAAGTTTACTTTATTACAGATATGCACATCTATTATTTCTTCAGAGTAATTTGAGAAGAAAAATAAGAAAAAACAAGTTTAAGTATTTTGAAGTGTATATTGAAGGTTGAAATATGCAGAAAAACCAGACTAGAGAACCCATTCCTTGATATAGTGTCAAATTCATTGTGTCTAGTCTAGTTCATTGTATTATGCTTATTGAGTTGTAATCTTATTTGCTTATACAAGAAGTATTCCGAGAGGTTTATTCTGTGTGTGAGAATTCAAGTCTTAGGCTAGAGTTAGCTCGAGTGTTTTGCTACAATTAGAGTGGTTGTAGGCGTTAAGTGGCTAGGATTTAGTCTCTTAGGTTATAATAGTTTTGTAACCTGAAACAACGTTGTTTCAGTGAAATTTTGTGAGAAATTCCAGAGGTGGGTCGTAATTTTTACTTTCTTGAACAAGAGGGGTTTTCACATAAAAATCTCTTGTGTATTTAGTTCCGCACTTTATTATTTCAGTTGTTTATCGAAGGAGCAGATATAAGAACCAACTTTTTATACATCTGTCTGAGTGGTGCACCGAACTAACAGAAAATAGACCATAGTGCCACATCTTTAGTCTTTAACTAAGTACACATGTGGCACTTGACAATCTGCTCACGATCTTGCACAACTTGCTCACGTTCTCGCTATGCCAAGTCAACCTTACTACACTAAAGATCGCTAGAGGAATGTTAGAACACAAGAGAATTGCCAAAGAAGTTTTTGTATTAGAGAGAAATTGATTGTTTTGCTTAGTGAATTTACAAATGAATGCCCCCCTTATATACTAGTCTCTTAGGGTCTAGTGTGTAAATATTAATTGTTACACAAGTCCTTAATATTTACAAGTAAGTCTGTTCTCTAGAATTCTCTACATAACTAGAATCTTTCAGGGACTTTCCTAGCAAATCCATAGGTTTCTAGAGTCTTCTTAGGAAAACCTCTATATTTCTCTAGAACCTTCTTACAAGTGTTACTTTATTTCATATGTAAGCTTCCACATGGCATTAATATATGCCAAATGGCACCTACGTGGTATAATGATATAGCGGGCCATGACACTCTCCCCAGCATTGACACGTACGCGCGCACCTCGCCTTGGCATCGCCGGAGATCTTTGTCCATTAGCCATGATGCTCTATGGAGCGGTTCGTCTTCCCATTTCACAAGGTACTGGTCACATTTCTTCTTACGCCGTTTGTACTTTGGATGGCTAGCAATGATTGCCTCGATCCTCCACCCATCAGGTGCCTCTCCTTGCTCTTGGCCTGAATCTCCCCATAACTCAACCAAGTCTAGAAGCTTCTCAAGCATCGGGTTTATGCTTTCACTTCCTATTTGGCTGCCCTCCGTGATTCCCTCCTTGCGAGCAAACTTGACCCATCTGCTTGGTGCATCGTCTAAGTCCGATAGCGTGCCATCACTTTGTAACTTATCATTCCCTTCAACTATGTCCGCCCAACCTTTCTTGCTACCACTATGCTCCATTTGCATGGTGCCAAGATAGGCTTTGG